AGAAGTGCACCTTTGCACAGCCTTTGAGGGCAGGTGGTTTTAGAAGCCCTGTTTTGATGGGGAGAACTTTTGCTGAAGAGAAATGAAGCTTTTTATATCAGGGAGGGACATTTCATCTGTGTCCACAAACTGCCAGGGCATTCATTTAAATTCAAGGACTCTCTAAAGTTAAAGAGAAGAAAAAATTATATCTTTATTTTTATTAACTTCCAACCACAATTAGGATTTTCTTCCATTATAATTGTATGTACCAAACTACAGTAGAGTCCCACCATCTCTGACTTTATCAAGGTTGGTGATGAAATAATTTCATATCTGATTATAGCTGAAAATAACTGAACTGTCACTTTTATGATATTAAAAGTATTTAATTTATGATTATATAATGTACTCATTCAATGTGAGACTTTGCAGCTAGATATAATGTAATGAATTTAAAATAGTCAGATAACTGTATGTCAATATAATTTTATTTCCTTCATAATCCTTGTGTTTTATTCATTTAATAATTCATGACTTGTTTAATATTAATTCCCTGAGAATGGGATAATAGGCTTCACCAGACTGTCAAGGGGTCCATTGTACAAAAGCGTTTAAAAGTTATGCTTTAAATGAAGAGGGGCTCAGTGGGCTACTGATGACCAGGTTTTAATTATACAGAAAAAGTCTAAGAAAGGGAAAATCTTAGCAATAGCAGGAGGTGAAGACAAGAAAACCCAATGCAATCTCCCACTAGAGTCATTCTGTTTTTTAAGTAATTTGGAAGTCAAATTTTGTTTTGAATTTAATTAACACTCTTAGTTTAAAAATCACAAATTTAGAAACTTAGAAAGGAGAGCTTTATTTCTTAATGGGAGTTACAACCCACAGGCAGGGAGCACAGCCTCTGGTTGAAATACCAAAAGCAAGCACTTCCAGGGAGAGAGAAGTAAGACAGCAATCAGTGCTGATGCGGTTGGCCAAGTATGCCTATTCAACAGGATACAGGAGGAGTTGTGAATATTAATTATAGTGAGGTTGCAAGCATACAAGGTAAGCAGACATGCATGATACATGCATCCCATGTTCACCTTGGGGTGGAGACTTAACATTTAAATCTATTACAATTAGGTCTTATTGGCGAGAAGGTGAAGCAGGGACAGGAAGGTGCTAAAATGCACAGCCTCTGCAAAACCAGCCAGAGCCAGTCTAGAGGGTCAGTGGTGTCTTATCAGGAAAAGGTTACAGAACTTGTTCAATTGACACTGTAGCTATGCAGGGTCAGTTTGTTGGCTTCTGACAGGGAGACCTACAATTGTTTCAATATTGTTTATCTTGAGGCAGGTGCTTGTTCAACTGCTAGAGAAAAAGAAAAAGCTTGTGACAGTTAGAAAACAGTTTTTTGTTTTTGTTTTTGTTTTTTGAGACCAAGTCTTACTTTGTTGCTCAGGCTGAGGTGCAGTGGTGCGTTCTCGGCTCACTGCAACCTCCACCTCCCTGGGTTCAAGTGATTCTCCCGCCTCAGCCTCCAAGTAGCTGAGATTACAGGCACCTGCCACCAAGCCCAGCTAATTTTTGTATTTTTAGTAGAAATGAGGTTTTACTATGTTTGCCAGGCTGGTGTTGAACTCCTGACTTCAGGTGATCTACCTGCCTCAGCCTCCCAAAGTGCTGGGATTGCAGGCATGAGCCACCATGCCCAGCTCATAGTATGTTCTTTAAGTGAAGGGGTACCTGACTTAACCTTTGGATGGTATGTCCTTAGATTCTGTTTATCATTTTGTATCTTACTGCCACAAAGAGTTTATCAGTCTTATGATCTTCTATTTTAACATAAATGTTGATAGTTATTGAGTCTAAGCCAGAAAAAGGAGGGGGTAGAATGCGGCAGGTCTCAGTTTTTAAGGTTTCTCTGGGGTTTCCTTGCCAAGAAGTAGTCCATCCAGTTGGGTGGGGAGCTTGGTATTTTATTTTTAATTCTCAGCACTCATTGCTAATTTTTCAACAATGTACTTATGGCTGTATTTCTCTAATTATCAAAATAAAAATAAGAGTATCTATGGACACTCCCACATGTAAAATAACAAACCCAGTGAAATTTAGACCAATTTAATGTCAATTATTTTTTCCAATAACTGAAGTATGAGATTTTGAACCCGGTTTATTACTGAAATTTTACATATCATTTTAGTCAAGAATTACTTTTTGTCTTTCATTCTATTTTATCATATTTAAAACACTAAATTAGGCTTTATTCTCTATTTTATTGGTTTTAGTATTTATCTCTTTAATAGAGTTCACCAGTTCTTGATCTTTATTTTGATTCACTTCTCATTACACTGGAACATAACATCACTCAATTTTCCAGTTAGGATGCCCAAGTAATACAATCCCCGAATGTATACACCTGTAGGAAAGTCTTCGCACAGACATCACACAGGAACGGCAGCTTGGCTGGTTGCAATATTTCATATTGCATCCTTTTGAGGCAGGAGAATAGGATCTGGAGGCAAGGAACCTAAGGCTGACTTCCTAGAACTAAATTGAAAGGAAAATCATAACTCTCCACACCTAAGTAATAAAAGGACCAGAGGCTACTCCCTTTGCAAACCCTCACCTTTTCTGCCCTGCAGATGGGAAATTGAAAGTGCCTCTGATTGGTTGCAAAAAGCAATTTGCAACCAGTCAGACATTTGCATAGGAGTGTAACTGTAACAACTCCACCCTCTGATTGGTTGCAGGCTGTCTTTCTCTGTATAGAAGTACAACTTTGTAACTTCACTTTAGCCTCTGATTGGTTGTTTTTGCAACCAATGGGTATTTGGACCCAGGAAGATTCTGTATCTGGGCATTGAGCCACTCCTTCCACCTGTTCCCACACTGTGGATTTTTATTTTCAATAAATCCCTGCTTTCATTTTCATTGCTTCATTCTTTCCTTACTTTGCTGTGCACTTAGTTTTTCTTTGTTCAAAACATCAAGAATCTGGACAACTTGCAATCAAGAACCTCTGTCGGTAACACTTTCCCCCTCAAAATTTTGCTGTTAGCTTCCTTCACTTCTAACAGTGCCATGGAAGAGACATCCAAAGAAGCTTGATGCTTTTGCCCCTTTGCACCTAATCTGCCTGGATGCTTTGAGAATAGTTTTATTCTTAAAACTCAAAATGTCCAGTAGGAAATAACTAGATGTCAGTCACTTTTGTTAATGTTGCCAGTTATACAGAAGTGTGTCTCCGCTTGCACACCTGTATCCTTCCGTCCATCTTCTTTCAAAGCATCAGTTATTAAATTAAATATCTGCTCTCGGTCTACTAAATCTATCTTTTTATGCTTCACACACATTCTTCAGGCATAAGTTTCAGTTTTTTTAAAAAATGTTAAATCTCAAACAAAGGTGATCAGGAGAGACTCCCCTACTCCTTGTCTGCCTTGTTATCTAACAAGATGTCATTTAGATGGATCTGAATGTCGGATGAATGACCTGATTAAATATCACGCCAAAGGTGGAGTGAGGATTCAGGTAACATTCCTCCCTCGGTTAGAATATGACCCCCTTGCATTCTCCTTATCCACTCATCTGTATATCTAAAGGCTGGGTGCTGTTTTCAATCTTTGCCCAGTTGAGGGCAAAGATCCCGATTTACTTCTTAGTCTAGTTCCCTCTAATTGCTCAGCTACTCCTCAAATCTGGCTGACTCTCCAACTGAGCCATCCCCTCTGCAGACTTGGTTCAGAAATGCTGCAGATTCTTGTGCTGCAACTGCCCCAGCAGCCTCACTGTACAGAGGGTAGTACCTACTCTAGAGACACTGCTGGGGAAGCTGTAGCTGATTCTGCCCTGTAGAACACCCTGCAGAAAAATACATATAATCAGAGCATGAGATGAAGAGCCTGGCAAACCAGAGGGTAGTTCACAGCTCTCTGCCAAGCCTTGCTTCAGGAAGAAAGATGGCCTGTTGCCAGGAAACCTTTCTCTAAGGAATTTCTCAGTAAACGCCTTACAGACTTCAAGTCTGATTAATAACTGTCTGCAATTAGTTTCTTTCTTTTAATTATTTCTTAGTGGCCTTACACTTTTGTCTTTTTATTTTATATATTTTACTTCTATCTTAAACACAGCTGGGCAGCAAGCATAACTCAGCAAGCCTGGGCTGCTCAAACCCTGCACTTTTCCAAGAAAAGACCTATGATAAACAGCTCTTGTAAATAACCTACGAGCCTTTGGTATATGCCTGTTTTCATTCCATTCACCTGGGGCCTTGGGCCTCACTGTATTCAGTTTGACCTCTGGGGTGAGGTATGGGCTGATGACTAAGTATCTGAGGTCAGTATATGACTCCATGCCTCGATGAGTGACCCCCAATAAAAACTAGACACCAAGTCTCAGGTGAGCTTTCCTTGCGAGTAGCACAGATGGTCCCTGACTTACGATGGTTCCACTTATGACTTTTTGATTTTACAATGGTGTGAAAGTGATATATATTCATTAGAAACTGTACTTCAAGTACCTATGCAACCATTCTGTTTTTCAATACAAGATTACGTGAGATATTAAACATTTTATGATAAAATAATCTTTGTGTTAGATATTTTGCCCAAATGTACCCTAATGTAAGTGTTCTGAGAATGTTAAAGGTAGGCTAAGCTGTGGCGTTCAGTAGGTTAGCTGTATTAAATGGATTTTCAACTTACAACATTTTTTATTTACGATGGTTTTATTGGGCTGTAACCACATCACAAGTAGAGAAGCATCTGTCTATTCATGTGAGTTGGCACACAGCATTGGTAGAAGAATGAAACACTGTTCCCACCACTCCACTGGGAGATGATGACTGGAAGCTTATGCTTTCCATATGTGCTGTCACAAAGTGAGATCCACAACTTCCTCTTACAGACTGGAAAGCACCAAGAGGTAAATCCTTGTTTAGAAATAACGTATCCTTGACACAGCCCATGGCCGTAATTCAGTCTGTCTCTCCTGAATTCTTTAAACATTATGTTCCCAAAGTGTTTCTTGCTCTTTCTGGGTCTCATCTTGGACAAGGATCCAGCTGTGCTTCTCACCATCCCGACTCCCATGTGCTGCTGATTCTGGAGAAGACCCAGGAGTTGAACAGCTATTTGAATCTACCCAGATTATAATCTGAAGCTACCCTGAATGTAAGTGTGTAGAAGGGGCATGTATTTCTGAATTCTTTCAGCTTGATTTCAATTTGCAGATTTAAGAGGCTCCCAAAACTTGTATATGATATTGAAACAACTTTGAATATTGGACTACAGGCCTAGGTTCACCGTTGATGAATAATCCTAAACAATAACTCTGAACAATACTTTCCCCCTGGGTATTTTTTTAGTAACTCTCACTTAGGTTCTTCAGGTCCCTATTTCATCATCCATGAACCGATTGTTGCTTTAAAGTTTAAATAATCGAGCTGGGCGCAGTGGCTCAAGCCTGTAATCCCAGCACTTTGGGAGGCAGAGGCGGGTGGATCACGAGGTCAAGAGATCGAAACCATCCTGGTCAACATGGTGAAACCCCGTCTCTACTAAAAATATGAAAAATTAGCTGGGCATGGTGGCGCGTGTCTGTAATCCCAGCTACTCAGGAGGCTGAGGCAGGACAATTGCCTGAACCCAGGAGGCGGAAGTTGCGGTGAGCCGAGATTGTTCCTTTGCACTCCAGCCTAGCTAACAAGAGCGAAACTCAGTTTCAAAAAAAAAAAAAAAGCACTTTGCAACCCGTCAAGGGTTTCTGAAGCTTGAATTGTTGTTTCTAGCACACAAAAGAACCTACCTCCACACTGGAGGATAAAAGTGCTAGACTCAGTCATGACATTGAATTTGGTAATGATTTCTTAGAAATAACAGTAAAAGCACAGACAACAGCAATAACAAAACAAAATAAATTGGACTACATCGAAAATTTTAAGTTCTATGCATCAACAGACACAATCAATAGAGTGAAAAGACAACCCACAAAATGGAGAAAATATTTTCAAATCACATATCCGATAATGAGTTAATATTCAGAATATTTAAACTCCAACTACCAAACAACAAAACAACCTGATTTTTAAAATGGGCAAAGGACCCATTTTTCATGTGCTTATTGGTTATTTGTATATCTTCCGTGTTCTTAAATGTTCAATAAACACATGAAAAGATGCGCAACATCACTAATCATCAGGGAAATGCAGATCAAAACCACAATGAGAACCGTCTCATACCCAATAAGATGGTTACTATTTAAAAGAAAAACAACAGAAAATAAGTATTGGTGAGAATGAAGAGAAATTGAAACCCTTGTGCATTGTTAATGGGAATGTAAAATGATGTAGCCACTAAGGAAAACAATATGGAGGTTCCTCAAGAAATTAAAAATAGAGCTACCATATGGTCCAGCAACTCCACTTCTGGGTATATACCCCAAAGAATAAAGATATAAAGTCTCAAAAAGAGATTTGTACCCTCACATTCAAGGCAGCATTATTCTCAGTAGCCAAAAGGTGGAAGCAATCCAAGGGTTCCCTTGATGGATGAATAGATAAACAAAATGTAGTATCTACAGAAATGATTTAGCCTTAAAATGGAAGCAAATTCTGACCTATGCTACAGCACAGATGAACCTTGAGGCCATTATCCTAACTGAAATAAGCCAATAACAAAAAGACAAATACTGTGTGATTTCAGTTGTATGAGCTACCTATAGTAGTCAAATCCATAGAGACAGAAAGTAAAATCGTTGTTGCCAGGGCCTGGAGGGAGGGAATGCAGAGTTGTTGCTTAACAGGTATTGAATTTCAGTTTTGCAAAATAGAAAGTGCTCTGGGGATTGTATAACAATGTGAACCTGCTTAACCCTATAGAACTATACCCTTAAAATTGGTTAAGATGCTAACTTCTCTATTATGCGTATTTTACCACAATTAAATGTTTTTTTAAAATATCCAGATATGACAGCTGAAATAAACAGTACTTTGTGCAACAGATCTATTTGCCTACCAAAAATAAAAAAGAAAAAAGGCTGGGTGCAGTAGGTCACACTGGTAATCCCAGCACTTTGGGAGGCCAAGGTGGGCAGATCACTTAAGGTCAGGAGTTTGAGACAAGCCTGTCCAACATGGTGAAACCTTGTCTCTACCAAAAATACAAAAATTAGCTGGACATGGTGGTGGGCACCTGTAATCCCAGCTACTCAGGAGGCTGAAGCAAGAGAATCACTTGAACCCAGGAGGTGGAGGTTGCAGTGAGCTGAGATCGTGCCACTGCACTCCAGCCTGGTGATAGATTCAGACTCAGTCTCAAAATAAATAAATAAATAAATAAGAAGAAAGCACTAAATTAGAGTTTTGAATCCTACCTTGCTCTGCCACTAACTAGGGGAGGAAACAATAATAATTGCTGGCATTTATGGTATACTTACCATGTGCCAGATATCATTTTAAATGTTTTATCTCATTTAATGCTTACAACAGGAAATACTATTGTGTTCCCATTTTACAGATCTGGAAACTGAAGCAAAATCAAATTAAATAAGTCACCCAAGGTCTTACAGCTAATAAGTGAGTAGCAAAGCCAGAATTCGAACTCCACAGTCTGACTCCAGGGCTGCACTTGTAACCATGGTGCTACTGTAGAATGGCTGGGAGCCCAGGTTCTACACGGCAATGAACCACTTCCTGCACCACCCACCCACTTCCAAATCCAGTGGCTTCCTCATCCTAGACCTAAAGAAAGTCAAGTTCAGCTATAAACAATATGATCATTTTTTTAAAACATCACATTTTCTCCAACAAATATGCTTTCCTTTCACCAATGTTTTCCCTCCACACCCCTTTCTCAGCTCTTTAATCATCTTAGATTGTGAAACATTAGATTAGAGAGCATGAGGGCTGAAGTTGCAACAGTCTGGATGGGACCCCAACTCTATGACTTGCTAGCAAGTCATTTGTTTTCTCTAAGCCTCAGTTACATCAACTGTAAAATGAGAATAATAGGACTTGCATCAACAGGTGGTTTTAAAGATTCCACTGTATAGTATCTTAAATGTCTAGCATAATATTTGACTTATAGTGGGGCTGTGGTTGAATCATAGTAACAATTACTATAATAGCAATAACTGGTTGAATGTTACTTAACAACTTTGTTGTCAGGAGAAAACAAAAGGTAGACTTGTTCATTATGGCTCCAAAATTGAAAATGAAACATGAGATTACCAGGGAGATCCACTATTCTACTAAGCAGAAAGCAAATCTTTCTATTAGAGAAGATCAAGGGCAAGTTGGGTTGTCTTTGAAGGTGGTGAGTTCCCTGTAACTGAAGCTGTTCAAGCAGCTACCACTTGGTGAACATGCTGTGCATAAACTCCAGCCCTGCCATCCCTGAGAGTCTATGAATTTATGTCAAGATTTATCCACACCCATGCAGTGATCTGGTGCCCTCTCCCAGTGTTCTGACTTTCCCTATTCAAGCTGCTACAGGTTTACTGTACAATCTTCCACATAAACCAGAAAAAACACATTTCAGCTCCAGATGCTGGTGGACAGGTGGCTTAATCTGGCCACAAGAATGGGTAGAAGTGACTGTTCTCTTTTGAGACCTGGGTTCATTCCCCAGTGATATTTATGCCAAAACTGAGAGGAACAGGTTTCTGTCTGTGTAGATTTTCCAGTGTTCAAAATTCATCTCATTTTCTTTTCCTTTTTTCAGCCCCTCCAGTAGACGACAGATGACTTTGATCACGACACCAACACTTACCTGGGTAAGAACCCAGGGGATTTACAAAGATTTTTGGCTTGCCAGAGCCCTTCAACTGGAAGCATCATTTTCAGATTCAAGGTGAGGTCACATTTAGGATCATTTGTAGAAAGGAGATGGATTCACTGGGGGCATGATCCTTAGTAACCAAAGGAGAGAAGTGACATTCTGCTTCTAGTCTGGCTTACGAGTAATTCCTCTGCTAGAACGCTATGCTATCTCTCAGTCTGCTTAAGTTATGTTCATTCCTCAAGTTTTAGCTGAAAGTTATATTTCTTTTTTTTATATATATAGGACCTGATATATTATTATTATTATTATTTTTTATTGCATTTTAGGTTTGGGGGTACATGTGAAGAACATGCAAGATTGTTGCATAGGTACACACATGGCAGTGTGGTTTGCTGCCTTCTAAGAAAGACTCCTTCATTCCTCTAGAGGCAAACTGGAGAGAGTACAGATTTGGCCCAAATGCCATCCCTCGCCGGCAGCCTCTGGGCGCTGCCAGCGAACTACACTCCTCACAGAGTTTCTCTCCTGCAGGGAGATGCGTGCCTCAGCATCTGCACCGCCCTCTGCTGGTCAGTGATGCTGACACAGCGAGGAGTTCCAGGCTTCCAGAATAAAATCAACTGCTCGACACTAAGGAAGACTTTTATTTTATTGGCTTTTAAAACAAGCAGAAAGTATGGTCATGGGTAACAACTTAGTCAAAAGCCTGCGCTATGAACCAAGAATTTCGAATGGCATGTCCTCTGTAGCAGTCCATTCTCACACTACTATACTACATGAGACTCTGTCATTGAGGAAGAAAAGAGATTTACTTGACTCACACTTCTGCATGGCTGAGGAGGCCTCAGGAAACTTACAGTCATGGCAGAAGGTGAAGGGGAAGCAAGGCACATCTTACATGGAGCAGGAGAGAGACAGAAGAGTGTAAGGGGAACTGCTAAACACTTTTTAGAACCACCAGATCTTGTAAGAACTCACTCACTGTCATGAGAATCCAATCACCTCCCACTAGGTCCCTCCCTCAACACCTGAGGATTATAATTTGAGATGAGATTTAGGTGGCGACACAGAGCCAAACCATATAATCTCCTTCCACTTTTTTCTCTTTATACTTGCTCCTGGGGTTTTATCTCTGTATTTCCTTAATATGGTAGTTATCCCTGTCTCTGGTAAATAAACTGTAACCTGCGTAACCCAAAAGATCAAAAGCTATGATCCCCTTCCTAGATAGTAGCTTTATCTCTGTAGGAAGTACATTTGATCTGTGGGGGTAATTGTATAACACCAATTTTTCTAACCCTTAACAAAGAGTTTTTCCTAAATTGCTCATCTTACCTAAAAAGGCCCATTGATCATAAAACATGCTGAATTTATGGAATACACTTTGGGAGGCCAGGACAAGATGGAAGGCGCCACTCACTCAGGAAGCTAAATGTCTTCTGTTTGAATACACTAGGGAACTATGTGGTTCCTACTTGCAGCTGTAGAATGGGACAGTAGTGGGATACTGACATGCTTACTAAAGGAGTGGCTTTTGAGAAAGGCCTTGAAAGTGGGTGTTTGGTTTTCTATTGCTGCATTACAAACCACCACAAAACTTGGTGGTCTGAAACAGAAGTCCTTTCTCCCTCACTGTTCGGTGGTTTCACTGAGCTCAGCAGGACACCACTTGTGTTCCATGGTGTGCTGGCCAAGAGCTCAGTTAGGCCTGACCATCCAACATGGTTCAGTTATATATCTAGCACCTACATGAAAATAGCACAAAGGCTGAGCCAGGACACAGACAGAACTAAGCTCCTCTTTCTCTCCAGTCTTTTCATCTCACCCTCTCCATGTGGCTTTTCCAGCTGAATAGTTGGTTGGCTCAGGTTCCTAGATGTGCAAGCTCCCAGGCCTTCTAGGTAGAGAGACAGCTTCATATCTGCAATATTTAATTAGTTAAAGTGGGTCACAGGACCAGCACAGATTCGCTGTAGAACAGGACTTCCCATTGACATGAATCCTGGGATGGGTGGTTAATTAGGAACTGTCTTTGGAGACCAGTTACAACACAGGTAAGAAAAAGATGCTGAGATGTAGGAGGATGAGCACAGCCTAAAGCGTGAATAAAGCATGAAGTTGATAAAATTAAAGAATACAGGCTATTGAAAAGTGTGAGTTTGTGACTTCTGGTTCCAAAATGGTGTTATAGAAGCAAGCTAGTTCTACTTTCCATTGCCCCAGAAAACCAGAAAAAAATATACAGCACCAAGATTATCACCAACAATGTCCTAGAACTCAAATATGAGGAGAAGATAGTTCCCAGAGTCATAGAGAGGTGCTCAGAAAAACCTCTGAGCAGAGAGTAAGAGAATCATACTTCTGTATCAGCAATGATCCTCCCTGCAATCTGCCCAGTACCAAGTATGTGGAAATTTTTTTCTCAAATCAGTTTCTCCACTGAAAAAAGTGAGATCAATGTGGACAAACAGCTTCCCCATTATCTTGGGTTTCTTCATAGGAGACATGTCTCTGCCTCAACCCAGGATAACCATTGGAAGTGCCTGAAGGAAGACATATCTCTGAGGACAGACAGAGACAAATAGGGGAGGTGAGACTACCATCTCCAGCCCTAGAAACTCTGCTCTGAAAGTAGCGAAAGGAGATGCCAAATCAGAGGGGCTGTTCAGCAGCACCATGCTATAGGAGGTTTGTTCCACAGGTCTTCTGGGCACAAACCCTACCTTCTCCCATTGTCCCCTTTGGGGCCACCCCATTCCAGATGGTAGGTACTCTGTTTAGAGGTCAGCCTAAACTTAAACTGCCATGTAGAGCTGAAAAGTGGACAACAACCTAGTGGAAAGAAGGAAGGAAGGAAGGGAGGGAGGGAGGGAAGGAGGAAGGAAGGAAAGAAGGGAGGGAGGGAGGGAGGGAAAGACAAGAGAGAGAGAGAAAGAAAATCAACAGGTAAATTACAAAGAATCTCTAAGCAAATATATGTAATAAAAGCCAAAACAAGCCAGACAGAGAAGACTGGAATAAATAACAAAACTTTTAATGCAAAAACATAGATACACATCCATAAGAAACAACATCTAACAAACAACTATGACCTCTACAAATGGATAAAGCAAAACACAAGCGACTGATCCTAATAAGACAGGGATATGCGAACTCTCTGATGAACAATTCAAAATAGCAGTTTTAAGGAAACTTAGTGATCTCCAAGATAACACAAAAATTAATTCAGAAATTTATCAGAGAAATTTAACAAGACTGAAATAACAAAAAGACCAAATATAAGAATTACTGGAGTTTCAAAGGGCAAAAGGTAGGAAGCTTATTCAAAGAAGTAATAACAAAAAGACTTTCTAAACCTTTAAAAAGAGATAAATATCCAGATACAGGAAGATCTATAACCAAATAGATTCAGTCCAAGTAAGACTACACCAACACATATAATAGTAAAACTCTCAAAGATAAAAGACAGAGAGGATCCTGAAAGCAGCAAAAGAAAAGATCCAAATGACATATAAAGAGCTCCAATATATCTGGGAACAGATTTCTCAAAGGAAAGAAGGACTTCAAGAGTAATACATTTCAAAGTCTTGAAAGAAAAAACCTATCATCCAAGAATACTGTCCCAAAATAGGTATCCTTCAAATACGGAGACAGAAAGTTTTCTCTGGACAAACAAAATCTGAGATAATTCACCACCACCGGGCCTGTCTTGCAAGAAATCCCAAATGGAGGTCTTTAATCAAAAATAAGAAAATAAATAACACTAACATGCAAAAAGAAAATCGTTGAAGGCATAGAACCCGTTGCTGGCCAGGCATGGTGGCTCGTTCCTGTAATCTCAGCAATTTGGGGGGCTAAGTTGGGTGGATAGCTTGAGATGAGGAGTTAAAGACCAGCCTGACCAATATGTCAAACCCTGTCTCTACTAAAATAAAAAAATTAGCTGGATGTGGTGGCAGGTGCCTGTAATCCCAGCTACTCAGGAGGCTGAAGCAGGAGAATCACTTGAACCCAGGAGGAAGAGGTTGCAGTGAGCCAGGATTGCACCACTACACTCCAGTCTGGGTGACAGAGCAAGACTCCATCTCCAAAAAAAAAAAAAAAAAAAAAAAAAGAAAGAAAGAAAAAAGAACCCACTGCTAAAAATAAATATATAAACAAACCCGGAATACTCTATTACTGTAACTGTGGTGTATAATCCACTCGTAACTGTAATATGAATCCCAAAAGACAAATCTATCAAAATCAGTAATAGTTATTGATATAACTACTATTGTTAACCTGCTAAGAAATGAAAAAATGTTAATTGAGACAACACAAGTCAAAATGTGAGTGTGATACTGTTAAAGTATAGAGATTTTCTTTCGTTTTTTTAATTTGTTTTTATTTTTCCTGGTGATCTAAGTAACTTGTCATTTCTTCAAAATATCAAAATACATTTTTAAAAGAGGGGATCTTGCTCTGTCACCCAGGACAGATTGCAATGGCATAATCATAGCTCACCACAGCCTTAACTTCTTGGGCTCAAGCAATCCTCCTGCCTCACACTCCCAATAGGTGGGACTACAGGCACATGCCACCATGCCTGGCTAATAATAATTTTTAAAAAAAAGTATAGAGATAAGGTCTCACAGGCCTCACTTTGCTGGCCAGGCTGATCTCCAACTACTGGCTTCAAGCAGTCCTCTTGCCTTGGCCTCCCAAAGTGCTGGGATTACAGGTGTGAGCCACTATGCCCAGCCTATCTATAAGATATTCTTTTGAGCCTCATGTAACCACATGCAAATACCTATAGTAGATTTACTAAAAATAGAAAGCAACAAATTAAAACATACTACCAGAAAAAAATCACTTACTTACAAAGGAAGGCAAAAAAGAAAGAAAAAAAGGATGAGAGGAGTCTCAAAACAACCAGAAAAGAAACCAAAAAAAAAAAAAAAAAGGCAATAGAAAGTCCTTACTTACCAATAATAACATTAAATGTAAATGGACTTAATTCTCCAATTAAAAGACAAATAGTAGCTAAAAGAATAACGAAATAGACCCACCATATACTGCCTACAAGAAAC